GCTTTTCCATCTTGTGCGATTGACTTGGAACACAGCCGGTTGGCGAGGGCAGGATTGAAGGGTTCTCCGTCGCAGATATCGCATCTCGTCGGGCAAACCCCACGAGAGCCAGAAGACTAACCAAAAATGCAGTCATCAAGATCGGGGGAAGTTGTTCGGAATCCCGATGTTGGCATGAAGGTGTAAGCAGTTTATTCATAATTTTCGAATGAAGGGTTTTTGAGAGACTTTGAGATGCGAATGTTTGGGAGCTTTTGGTAGCATGCCGAGTGCTTCGGCTGTGAAGTGCCTTCCCTTGCGACCAACGTCCTCACTCCCCCCCCCCCCCCCCACNNCCCCCCCCCCCCCCCCCCCGAAAAGATTATCCTGACAGCCCACTCGCGGGACCCCCAACTGCAAGAAGATGTAAGGGCGCATGACATGAAGGCCGTGAGAAGTGGACATGGGAAAGCTGCTAGAGCTTTCTGAAGCATGCATCGCCGCAATGGTTGGTTAAGGGATGAGGGTCCTTAAACCCGCAGCTAGGGGAGAGGCTTAGTAGGGGACAGGGTGCACGAATTACCAAGCTTGAACCCCAGAAGCAGGCAGTGACGATCAACAAACGTCAGGAATCCTAGAGTGCCACCACGTTTCTCAGATTCGACCTGCTCACACTGTAAAGCAGTCTTACCAGTCGGATGGCCATCATTCTTGCATTTCTGCATTGCCGAAGGCTTGCGGCTGTGAAGCCCGGGGGCTCGGGATGCCACGGCCAAGCCATGGCACACATAGGGATGTTGAAGAGGCAGCTACGTGATAAGGGCTATTGAACACAGCGAGTCCGATGAACGTGATGCCTTTGTGCACTTCTCCGAGCTGTGCTGGTTCTCCAGGGAAGACATGACTGAAGGGGCCGAAGTGGCCGTTGACATCGGGGAAGACCCACGGAGTGGAAGGACCGAGGCGATGAATGTAAGCGCTGAGCCTGGGCCACCGGCGAGCAAAGCTCTAACGGGGTCCCTGGCCACATCACGGAACCTCGAAGAGCTTCTGCTTCTGCTTGGGAAAGGACTCTGCATTATTAGCGACTAGTGCTGTCACTTGTCACGGTGTGATACCGGGCTGACAGAGCATGGTCACGGTTGCCATTTAGTACCGTACTAGTCTGACCATTCCAGATGTTCTGTGCATCTGAACATATCGGGTAATATCGGGTTTATTAGGGCCGGAACGGTGCACTGCTGGAGTCGTGCACTATGAGCTCCCCAGCAAGCAAAAAGGCACAGGTGTGAGGCAATTGTACGATATGCCGTGACCTTAGATGCCAAAGCATGGCTTTTATGATAAGTTCGGCATCTAAACCACCACACCTGAAACCAGACATCCTTGGGCCCTTGAGCCGCAAAAGGACACCAGCAGGCAGAAGCACGCACGAGTGGATCGACAGATGGTCTGAGTAGGGCGGCCATTCGTCTTAACTTTAGCATCTGCAACGTGTAATCGGTTGGCTTTCGAGAGTTTTGGATCGTTCTCTTTTTGGTGTCGTTCTTTGGCGATCCTGTTGATTATCTTCGCATCTGTATTCACGCATTGAAACTTCCATACATGTTTTAAGTTCACTCGAAACACACCTGCCCGAGCAAAGGTCCTGCTTTCCCCAGAACTGCAGCCGATCCCTCATCCATCTCGCTCTCTTTGAAAATTCCTTCGATATCGGGCGCAGGTCTAGTCTATATAAATTGAGTGTATGGTAGGCCACACAAGCAAAGCTGTTCCTGTGAACTTCCGTGCCCTTTGGAAGCCAGTTGCCCTATCACGACCCGACTTCTGGTTCGGCTTTTGTCAGGCAGAAAACATGGGCACATAACCCATCCCGGCAACGAGTTGAGTGTTCAGGTACAGCTGATGAGGACAAGACCATCCGCCAGAAAATCGCTGACTTTGACTTTGCGAACGTGTGTTCCTTGCTTGGGCCTCCGCCCACCAGTGGAGAAGACGAGGACAAGAACGGTTGCGACCTTGCATTCAGTCCTGGCGAAAACTGCTGAGTTCTAAAGTTATTTCTCTGCTCTTACAAAGCCAGAAGCACCTCTTTACTGTGAGACTCCCGAAAAGATGTCAGGTACCTCTTAGCATGGCCTCCAGTTGATCGAGGACAAGCTTGTCGCACATGTCGGCCTTACACGCCAATTCGTGTCTGGGATGCGATCAGTGGAGGAGGTGTTGCGGTTTCGGTTGAGATAGTCGGTGAAGCCGGGTCGCCGTCCAAGTATTTGCTCACAGCGCAGAATATCCCCACACCAACAAGCAGAGGCGTCATTCAGCTACAGATGTCTCCAGATCCGCCGTTGGACCAAAGGCCGCTGGCAGGTCCCCAGCATCCCCAGACATTGCGGACATCCTCAGCGTACAGCAACTACTAGGTATTACCCTAAGGGTCCAAGCATCCAAACGATAGGGTTTTGGGTTCAACATATGGGGCCTGCAGTTTGTGTACTTAGACCCTTACGACTAATTAGTCCTCAGCCGGCTGAGGCCTCCGATCCGCCTTCCTTCCGAAAGGAGATGCGCCGGCTGAAGGATGCCTGCAAACATGTGGGTCAGCTGCTTCAGGAGCACAAGGACCGGCATACCTGAATGCACGTGTCCACGTCCATTCAGTGCCTCGTGCAACCCACGCAGTTGGAGGAGCGGGTGGAGGTGATGAGGGCAGCGCTGGCACAGTTGGAGATTTTGGGACTGCACTCGGAAGGGAGTGTGTTGTCGGACCAAGCTGTGATTGCACTCGGAGCTACAGCTTTGGCTAGGCAGAAGAAGTGTGTGAGGATTTAGATAGCCACTTGGCAGCCGAGTGTGAAAAGAGGAAGTGAGTCTGAGTGATTGAGTGTGCTCGTAATCTGAATGGCAGCCCCTGCTTATAGAAACATCGCTGATCGATTTTCTGGCTTGGGGTTAATTCGGGTTTGGGGAGCAGACAGGAAAGACTCAGAGATCAAGACGCCTCTCAGGACGTTCTTCGGGCCGGACCTTGTGCATCACGACAACACCCTACTAATGCATACGTCGGAGGGACGTCTCTTCAAAAAGCCCGCCGACATGTCCCTTCACCAGCTGGTACCAGGAACTGAAGGCGCAGCTTGCCTATCTTTTTGGATGGTACGGATTGCACGTTTGCCTTCTGAAGTTTGTTGCTGTGGACGCTTTCGGGGGTGAAGCAACTTTCAGATTCCTATTCATGTGAGCGATGCTGAATCCATGTGATGAAGCTGGCAAGCGGCTAGCACAGATCTTCATTTTCTGCCACTCCTGCCTCGCTCATTTGTTTGCAGCAACCACAGCCACCACTTTAGTAGCTTCATTAGTTACCTCAGTTAATGCTTGAGTATCTTGAAATACCAATTGCCAACGGTCCTCATTACCCACGCAGTTGGAGGAGCGGGTGGAGGCGATGAGGGCAGCGCTGGCACAGTTGGAGATTCTGGGACTGCACTCGGAAGGGAGCTTTGAGGTGTGTTGTCGGACCAAGCGGTGATTGCACTCGGAGCTACAGCCTTGGCTAGGCAGAAGAAGTGTGTGAGGGTTTAGATAGCCACTTTGCACCCGAGTGTGAAAAGAGAGAGTGAGTCTGAGTGCCTGAGTGAGTGTGCGAGAGACTGAGTGACTGATTGACTGAGTGAGCGCGTGCTGCGTGAGTCTGCGAATGCCAACCATGAACGCATGCGATGTTCGCAGCAGTCGTCATCATCAGCACAACCACCACCACCACCACCACCATAATCATCATCATTATCATCAGCGGCGATGCTCGTAATGTGTGGCGGCCCCTGCTTATAGAAACATCGCTGATCGGATTTTCTGGCTTGGGGTTATTTCGGGTTTGGGGAGCAGATGGGAAAGACTCAGAGTTCAAGACGCCTCTCAGGACGTTCTTCGGGCCGGACTTTGTGCATCACGACAACACCCTACTAATGCAAACGTCGGAGGGACGTCTCTTCAAAAAGCCCGCCGACATGTCCCTTCACCAGCTGGCACCAGGAACTGAAGCGCAGCCTGCCTATCTTTTGGAGACTTTGAAGGACCAGTGCCCAACTGTCAAACGTTGCGTGATGCCTCTTGCGATTCGACTGGTGAGCAAGTTTTGACGGACCGATACTGAGATGGATATTTATAAGGGCTCCGAGTTTCAGCTTCTTTCCAGGCTTCGAATCCGGAAGAACGCCCTTCTCCTCTTTGAATATTCGGCCGGCCGAGGCCGACGCTTTGTCCTGCTGGCCTTCGCGGGAGTTCCAGATGCCCCGCGAGCTGGCAATTTACCCACCTTCACCTGGAAGCAGAACCGTGACGACGCAAAAGCTCTGGACACGGGCAAAGAATTTGGCAACGAAGCTGGATTTCATGGCGGTCGGTCGCATACAGGAGAATTCCTGATATGATATCGATCACATTCTCCTGTATTTCTGTGCTTCACCACTCAAGATGGAGTGCCTTCTTCGCGACCTGCCCGGCAGGCTTCGCCAACTAGGTGGGTATCCAGAGGCCGCCCAACCGCGGAAGAAGCTTTGCATAATCAAATTCGCGGGGCTTCGGATTCCAGACTTGGCACAGACAAGGCCGGGCTGCAGTTAGCAGCAGGATACCGACAGGATTTTCGCTCGGAGCAGCAATGCACGCAAGCCAAAATCATGAATCACACGGGTAGTTTTGTGAGATAGCTTCTTCGGGTGCAGAACAAAGAGATCCTACTTTCGGGACTTCAGTCAGCTTCCTGGCACTGCAGTTGACATTCACATCAGAAACACGTACGGGAGCATGGAAAGGGACCCTGATTCAGAGAACCTTGCATGTGGAGAAGCGCGCTCGCCCCTGAAATCTTGATGAAGACGAGTACCTTTCTCGAGTTCGGATTTGCCCCAGCATTGCATGAGCCAACTCGAACGCTTGCACTCGAGGTGCCCCACCTTTCGCACACCTTCGCGATGTGTGGAGCCTGCTGTTCATAACGCATTTCGAGCCGTCTGGAGGCAGGTCGAGCCCACCGCTTGTGCTTCGACGGCGGTGTGGATGGGGTGCATCCTGGACGTGGTGGTGCAGGCATGGTGCGGATTGCATGTTTGCCTTCTGAAGTTTGTTGCTGTGGACGCTTTCGAGGGTGAAGCAACTTTCAGATTCCTATTCATGTGAGCGATGGTGAATCCTTGTGATGAAGCTGGCAAGCGGCTAGCACAGATCTTCATTTTCTGCCACCCCTGCCTCGCTCATTTGTTTGCAGCAACCACAGCCACCACTTTAGTAGCTTCATTAGTTACCTCAGTTAATGCTTGAGTATCTTGAAATACCAATTGCCAACGGTCCTCATTACCCACGCAGTTGGAGGAGCGGGTGGAGGTGATGAGGGCAGCGCTGGCACAGTTGGAGATTCTGGGACTGCACTCGGAAGGGAGCTTTGAGGTGTGTTGTAGGACCAAGCGGTGATTGCACTCGGAGCTACAGCCTTGGCTAGGCAGAAGAAGTGTGTGAGGGTTTAGATAGCCACTTTGCAGCCGAGTGTGAAAAGAGAGAGTGAGTCTGAGTGCCTGAATGCGTGCGCGAGTGACTGAGTGAGTGAGCGCGTGCTGCTTGAGTCTGCAAGTGCCAACCATGAACACATGCGATGTTCGCAGCAGTCGTCATCATCAGCAGCACCACCATCATCATCAGCGGCGATGCTCGTAATCTGAATGGCAGCCCCTGCTTATAGAAACATCGCTGATCGGATTTTCTGGCTTGGGGTTCATTCGGGTTTGGGGAGCAGACAGGAAAGACTCAGAGTTCAAGACGCCTTTCAGGACGTTCTTCGGGCCGGACCTTGTGCACCACGACAACACCCTACTTGTGCAAACGTCGGAGGGACGTCTCTTCAAAAAGCCCGCCGACATGTTCTTCACCAGCTGGCACCAGGAACTCAAAGCTATGAAACGTTGCGGTGATGCCTCTTGCGATTCGACTGGTGCCAGCAATCTCGCTTGAGGAAGCTTTGACGAACCGGGACGCGATAGTGAGGATGGATGTTTGCATATGGGTGTTACGGTTCGGTTCGGTACGGCTGGCATTGCCTGCGGTTTCCTTCCATAATGTGTCTGTCGGTGCGGTCCGGTTCCGTGCCACCCACCTCCTCCCTCCTCCCACCTCCCCCCTCCTCCCACGCTCCACCTCCCCCCTCCCACCTCCTTCCTCTCACCTCCCACCTCCCCCCCACCTCCCACCTCCCACCTCCACCTCCCCACATCCTCCCACCTCCCACTCCTCCCACCTCCCACCTCCCACCTTCTCCCACCTCCCACCCACCCACCCATCCCACCTCCCACCTCCCAGCACCGCCTCCACCTCCCGCCCTTCCCTCCCACCTCCACCCATCCCACCTCCCCCCTGCCCACCTCCCACCTTCCCCTCCATTTCCCCATCCCTCCCACCTCTGCGCCTCCCACCTCCCACCTCTGCCTGCCCAATGTGGGAGGTGAAAGGTGGGAGGTGGGAGGGGTGGGAGGAGGGTGGGAGTAGGTGGGGTGGGAGGAGGGTGGGAGTAGGTGGGAGGGGGAGGTGGGAGGCGGGTAGGTGCAGGGCGCAGGGGGGTAGGGTAGGGCTCGGGGTGAGGTGCGGGTTTGGTGCGGTCCCAAATTCTTCGGTTCGGTTCGATACGGGAGCGGGCGGTTCGATACGATACTCGGTGAAAGTATTGTTGAAACGGCCATGGTTTGAGGGCTCCGAGCTTCAGCTTCTTTCCAGGCTTCGAAACCGGAAGAAAATTTGTCCTGCTGGCCCAGATGCCCTGCGAGCTGGCAATTTACCCACCTTCACCTGGAAGCAGAAACGTCACGACGCAAAAGTTCTGGACACGGAGAAGAACTTGGCGGCGAACCTGGACTTCATTCATGGCGGTCGTGCGCATACATGCGGAAGAATCCCTGATATCGATCACATTCTTGACTTCTGTGCTTCACCACCCAAGAAGGAGTGCATGGGTATCCAGAGGCCGCCAAACCGCGGAAGAAGCTTTGCGCAATCAAATTCGTAGGGCTTCGCGTTCCAGACTAGGCACAGACAAGGCCGGGCTGCAGTTGGCAGCAGGATACCGACAGGATTTTCGCTCGGAGCAGCAATGCACGAAAGCAAGAATCATGAACCTTTCGCACACTTTCGCGAGGTTTGGAGCCTGCTGCCCATAGCGTATTTCGAGCCGGCTGGAAGCAGATCGAGCCCATCGCTTGTGCTTCGACGGCGGTGTGGATGGGGGGCATCCTGGACGTGGTGGTGCAGGCATCGTGCGGATTGCACCTTTGCCTTCTGAAGTTTGTTGCTGTGGACGCTTTCGAGGGTGAAGCAACTTTCAGATTCCTATTCATGTGAGCGATGGTGAATCCTTGTGATGAAGCTGGCAAGCGGCTGGCACAGATCTTCACATTTTGCCACTCCTGCACCGCTCATTTGTTTGCAACAACCACAGCCACCACTGCAGTAACTTCATTAGTTACCTTAGTTAGTGCTTGAGTATCTTGAAATACCAATTACCAACGGTCCTCATTACCCACGCAGTTGGAGGAGCGGGTGGAGGTGATGAGGGCAGCGCTGGCACAGTTGGAGATTCTGGGACTGCACTCGGAAGGGAGCTTTGAGGTGTGTTGTCGGACCAAGCGGTGATTGCACTCGGAGCTACAGCTTTGGCTACGCAGAAGAAGTGTGTGATGGTTTAGATAGCCACTTTGCACCCGAGTGTGAAAAGAGAGAGAGTGAGTCTGAGTGCATGAGTGCGTGCGCGAGTGACTGAGTGAGTGAGCGCGTGCTGCGTGAGTCTGCGCGTGCCAACCATGAACACAGGCGATGTTTGCAGCAATCGTCATCATCAGCACCACCACCACCATCATCATCATCATCAGCGGCGATGCTCGTAATCTGAATGGCAGCCCCTGCTTATAGAAGCATCGCTGCTCGGATTTTCTGGCTTGGGGTTCATTCGGGTTTGGGGAGCAGACAAGAAAGACTCAGAGTTCAAGACGCCTTTCAGGACGTTCTTCGGGCCGGACCTTGTGCATCACGACAACACCCTACTTGTGCAAACGTCGGAGGGACGTCTCTTCAAAAAGCCCGCCGACATGTTCTTCACCAGCTGGCACCAGGAACTCAAAGCTATGAAACGTTGCGGTGATGCTTCTTGCGATTCGACTGGTGCCAGCAATCGCGCTTGAGGAAGACTTGACGAACCGAGACACGATAGTGAAGATGGATGTTTGAGGGCTCCGAGCTTCAGCTTCTTTCCAGGCTTCGAAACCGGAAGAACATTTGTCCTGCTGGCCCAGATGCCCTGCGAGCTGGCAATTTACCCACCTTCACCTGGAAGTAGAAACGTTACGACGCAAAAGTTCTGGACACGGAGAAGAACTTGGCGGCGAACCTGGACTTCATGGCGGTCGTGCGCATACATGCAGAAGAATCCCTGATATCGATCACACTCACCTGGATTTCTGTGCTTCACCACCCAAGAAGGAGTGCATGGGTATCCAGAGGCCGCCAAACCGCGGAAGAAGCTTTGCGCAATCAAATTCGTAGGGCTTCGGGTTCCAGACTAGGCACAGACAAGGCCGGGCTGCAGTTAGCAGCAGGATACCGACAGGATTTTCGCTCGGAGCAGCAATGCACGAAAGCAAGAATCATGAACCTTTCGCACACTTTCGCGGAGTTTGGAGCTTGCTGTCCATAGCGTATTTCGAGCCGTCTGGAAGCAGGTCGAGCCCATCGCTTGTGCTTCGACGGCGGTGTGGATGGGGGGCATCCTGGACGTGGTGGTGCAGGCATGGTGCGGATTGCACTTTTGCCTTCTGAAGTTTGTTGCTGTGGACGCTTTCGAGGGTGAAGCAACTTTCAGATTCCTGTTCATGTGAGCGATGGTGAATCCTTGTGATGAAGCTGGCAAGCGGCTGGCACAGATCTTCACATTTTGCCACTCCTGCACCGCTCATTTGTTTGCAACAACCACCGCCACCACTGCAGTAACTTCATTAGTTACCTTAGTTAGTGCTTGAGTATCTTGAAATACAAACGGTCCTCATGCTGAGACACACACACACACACTCACACACACACTCGGGTGCTGCCGACTGCTCAGCACCTTCAGCCTTCAGCCCGCAGGTCTGACCAGACGTAACAGCCAAGTTACTTGCAGACTCTGTGCACCGCCATCAGGAAATTAGCGCAGCAAGTCCTTTGCGGACCCGGAAGTCTAAGCCATGCAGCGTCCTGCAGCCGACAGGAGCCATCCGCCTCGGCTCCGGGCAAGCGCAGGCCATCCGGATCGGCGAACTGGGAAGACGTGGATGCAGTACCTTGGATAATTTCAAGCGTTTGCCTTTCGTTTTCGGTTTCATTTCGTTCAGTGCATGACCGCTTGCTGTTGCATGGATACAACAGAGGCTTGCTACATAAGGCTTCGGCGAAGGCCTGTACTACTTGTGTTTGGTTAGCCTGCGGAATCTGCTTGCGAATGGCGTTCAAGCACAATAAATTAGGGGAAGCTCGAGATTTCTGGTTGAATGTTGATCTTTGTAAGGCGGGATGACATTGGAAAGTGTTTGCGCAGAAAGGCAACAGCCGACGTGTGTTTTTTTCCGCGTGTGATCCCATCCTTACATCTAGCCCTGAATAGTAGATACCATTCGAAATCCTGTCCAGAGCTCATGGAGTATGTTGGCCTGCTGATTCGTCGGCGTGGTGTCAAGCAGATTTTGCCAAACTTGCAGCCGGGCCCGGGGGTTATTTTCGTCGCAAGCATTGCTGAGAGTGTTCTCGGGACTTGTGCTTGGGCTTGGGGCCTTTCATGAGGACTTCATGTTTCGGGTTCGGGAGGCCGCATTGTTCCTTCAGCGATGAGCTTGAATGGTTTTCGGGGTCGAGTACGTGTCGAAAACCATGCTGGTGTCTCTCCGAGCTTTTTGGCAGTAGTTAATTCGTAGAATTGTCCGATCCGTCTGTGTGATTTAGATGGGTATCATCCCTTCAAAGCTCATGCTGGGGGACAGACATAAGAGGCCAGGCAAACTGCAAGCGAAGTTGTCGCGACTGTGCTGTCTTGTCGTTGTTCAACATTTGCGCGAGGCAGCACTTTGTCTGATGCTATTGTATCAGGTTCAGCAGCAGGTTTCGAAACAGGTGTCGCTTGCATTGCAACTGCCAGAATAAGGCCAGTGGCTTGGAGTTCACGAGGCGAACATGAATGCTGATGGCACACTTTTGCTGGTGACCAGCAGACAGCCCATGGGCAGGAACTGGCAAGAAGCATATTGTCAGTCGCAGGATTTGCATACCAGGCTTCGCAGTGCAGAAGGTTCGCGCGGTGCTCGGTGTTGTTTAATTGGTCTTTCGGGGTCTGGTCAGCTTTGAATTGCTGAATAGCAAAGTTTTGACGCAAGCCTTCTGTTCTGACGATCATCTCTGAGGGGTTGCTGGGAGGCAGCAGCATGCTACCAAGCACGATGCGCGGCGATCGTAAATGTTCTGTAGCATGTCTGGCAGCTTCGAAGCTTTCGTTTTGATATACATCTGCCCAATGAGTATCTTGGAACCACGTGCTATGTGCGCCTTCCTGGCTACAGATCATGGGAGACTTATAATTAAGCAAATTGCAACGCACTGTTGGACTTTGGGTTTTAGTGGCTTCACCAAAGCGTGCCGAGATGCAGCCATTGTGCTTGGATATGCTGCCCAAGTGGCTCTGGAACAAGAGTGTGGCTCTTGGCTCCATAGTTGCCATGGCCGTCCCAGTGGGGATGCTGCATTCTAGCGGGTTGGAAGCCAGTTCAACTCCTGAGGCCAAAAAAAATCGAAATCTTGCAAACCCGAAATATCCCGTCACGTGCCACCGGATTTTGTCTGTTGGGACGCGTGTTTCAAGCTTCTGCTGACGGCAAAGGGCTCTGGGCTCAGGTAGTAGTGGCTTCTAAATTTTAAGGAATCTGTCTGCTTACGGACCTGCGAAGCTCAGGAGACAGTTGGACCCGTGCAACCCACCCCACTTGCCCAATCCAATCTATTCGCCGAGTTTAAACACGTGGTCCGTAAGGAGTTTGACCGATTTAGCTCTTAGATCATTAGCACGTGGCTCCACATCATATGGGCCTCGGAGGCAACAGACCTCTCAGACCTGGCTTCCAATCATGAGAGTTCAAGAAGCGAGGTGGCGGGTTGGGGCAAGTGTTCGGCAAACCTTGGTCCTGTGTGCTGTGAGTGGATAGACAGCCGTAGGACTTGATGGTTGATTCCAATCATTTTTGATGCCTCAGGCCTAGGCTTACCCTGAAAGCCCCAGGACCCAGAATCTGAAGTTTTTCAGAGGCTAAGTGACGAGCTACCGAGCTGTTTCCAAAGCCCGTAGCATGAGTCATGTACGAGGTCCCGCCAAGAACATGTATGCATTGTCTTCCACTCCTCTCAGTACCACGGAAACACCAAACCTAACCAGCGATCCAGCCGAGAATGCATAGGATGTCCCGCGTCTCTGAGTGATAATCCCGTGTTGGAGAGACCAAGGGTGACTGCCGAAACCGGCAGCCGAAATTCTTGTACACCTTCGTCGTCATCACATCAACGCGCCTGACATCAGGCTGGCGGACTTCAGAAAACCCCAAACGAGCACACAGGCGGCCTTTGTATGCAGCAGAGGTACCTGTGTGCTAGGTACGAGCCGCGAGCCACATAACCTCAGCCTCCCAAATTTAAACGAAGTTCCAGGCATTGCGGTTCTAAAACAATTGAAACAAGTTCTACTCCCCCGAACATCTGCCATCATTTTTGCTGCAACTGGCCAGGACAAACTGGCTGACGAGTTCTCGATTTGCCGACTCCCGACATGTGCATCTCTGCTCACTTGAGTCCGGTGTCCCGCGTTTGCAGCTTCATGTTGGCTCGTGGAGGCCAAGGCCCGCCCCATCCTTGGCCAGAAGTAATGAGTTGGCTGTGTTCAAGCAAGTTGCACAATCCGAGTCCCCATATCCTCTCCGAATTACAGTAGCACATTACGCATTCGCATCTTACGTTTTTTGGCATCAACGCATTTCAATTCCAGCCTCAGCCCCAGCATCTTGAACGTAAAATCATAGTAAACGCCGCGTCATCTTTTGACCAGCCGATGCCACGAGGCCATGGGGATGGTGGGGATGCAAATGATGAGGTTTTCCACAGAGTCTGCCTGGGCGAGTCTACTCACAGGTTGTGGAGCCGTGGAGCCAGCAGGACTTGATTCCAGGACTTTCCAGCTAAACCACTGGTCTCGAAACTGAAAGGAACCGCCTTTTTGAAGCTGCGCATATAGCATTTGATCTTTTCGCAGGTCGTCGATGTTCACCGACAAGATAGCGGCAGCCGTTGACCAGGCACGGAAGGAACATGGCTGCTCCATGGTGCAAAAGTCGCCTTCCGCTCAGCCGAAATCGTCTTTAAACAGAAGAACCCAGCACCAAAGACCTCAAAGCCCAAGCTCTACGAGGCGTTCACCTGCGGCCGAAGCCCCAAACTTTGCGAGGCTCGCAACGATGCCGCCAGCGCCATCGAGCGACACGTGGAGCGAGCCAAGGCCCTGGCAAGCAGAGCTCAGCTTTTTTTTGTGCCTCTTCGGTACAGAGGTTCTGCTTAGAGAGTCTTTCAGGCTGCAGGCGCTTCAGGCACCACAGTGGGATGCGTAGCCTGTGGTTTGGCAAACGGCAATAAAATACAAATGGTAGTGTATACTATATATACTTGTATGATCTTGCATGTGTAAGGTTGGGCGAACTGCCTGCGATGCCAGGTCGCAGCCACGGGCGTCGTGGAACAAGCGCGAGGCCCGATAGATCCCGTCCCCGATGGTAAGTTGACTGGTGGGCTTCGGTGCTTCACAGCTTCCTCGATTGCTTCTGTGTAGATTCTCGTGCACTCGTCAGGTGACGTGAAATGGGTTTCTAGGCCCTATGCTGCGGAGTCTAAACAGTCCCTAGTTGTTACAGACTTTTGTTCGTGTCTTGAACCCGCAAAGATAAGTAACAGTGTAGCACTGGCTGGGAACCACGGAAAGGTCAATGCTGGCTCTCGTAGCTGTGGGCCGTAACCCATAAGGCAAGCGATGAACCGATTCCAGCAGCCCGAACCTTCGCAAATCCCAAACTTGAGGTTTTCAGGATGTTTGTCAGTTTTCCTCGTAGCCCAAGTCCTCTTGTGTTCCTTCTGTGCAGAGGCTCTATAGCGCTTTCAACAGCACCGGTACCTTGCTCCGCCTTCTTGGCCTGTCTTTTGTTCGCTGCCGCTTCTGGCAGAGAACCGATTTGTGCACGTTGGCGTGCCTACTGCAATTTCTGGCAACTAATCTGCATTCTATGCGCTGAGTCCTTGCGGGGTGATGGATGTTGGTGGACTGGTTATGTTTGATAGATGAGTCAGGGTTACTGTACAGTTGTTTCAGAAGAGGTGGCTCTTATTATGCCCCTACATGGAATCAGTCACACTTGCTGGATTTGCGGGCCATGAGCACGGCGGGTCGGCTGCAGCATTTGCTACTGTGCGAGCGCAGCTCGGAGTCAGACGGGAGTACAGCAGCTTGGAGAACACGAAACAAACTAAGAGACACGACAGAGCAGGAACAAAGCTATGCAGTGCAAGACATACCGCCGGCGACGATGATCGGCCGTCAAACCTGAGTGCAACGGGCAGCTGAGATTTGACAAGATCACTTGCTATCAGGCCCTACCCCATCTGCGTGACCTAAAGGGCAAGTGTTTCGTCTGTACTCTGTATAGGATATAGGTTGTGCAGGTGATTCTCATTTTGTTACTTCGGTGCACGCCACGATTTTTTTTGATTTGAAGGTGGTCATGTCAGTCCTAGATCTTCACGTGCAAGATCCCACGGACATGCCCATCTAGCAGCTTCCAGTTTGTTCTCCGGCACATGCTCCGCCAGGGTTGAGTCATCCCTTTCCCCTGTCGGCTCTACTGCCTCAACTCAGACAGCCCTCACGTCACATAACCACTATAAACCTCACCTCCCTCGAAAAGCAAGCTTTTGCAACTGTTACTGTTAATGTGCCCGCCAGTTGAGTTGCAATAATGACATTACAATGCCGCTGACAAATGCCCCGAAAATCAGGAGGAAAGCAGCAGCAGCAGCAGCAGCAGCAGCAGCTTCTTAGGGACTTCGCCAGGTCTGCGGTCGAAGTACGCGCGGCGGTGATGGTGGCGCCTGCAACGATGTTGGACTGGAGCTGGCTGATAAGCTGATGGGGCTTTGTGATTTTGGGGTTTAGGCATTCAGGGTTTTAAGGTTAACTCGGCTAGCGTCAGAGACCTGGACGCATAGGGGAATTAAGGTTTTGATTTGTGGTTTAGGGCTCAAGGTTTTGGTTCAAAGGATGTAGGTGTTGCTTCGTGCAAAAAGGTTTGGAGTCGATGCTTGAGATTCCCACATCTAAAGCCCAACGACATTGGATTTGGGTTTTGCGCTGCTATACCTGCAACGTCAAACATTGCAGGAGAGATGACCAGCAAAATCGAAGCTTCCGATGAAGCTCCGAAATGCTACAGCTGCCTTTCGGCAACTTGGCTCGTTTATGTTTGTGATCGTCTGTCTGTCTGTCTGTCTCTGTGTGTGTGTGTGTGTGTGTGGGTGTGGGTGTGTGCGTGCGCGCGTGCTTGTGCGTGCGGGTGGGTGTGAGAGAGAAAGAGAGAGAGAGGGAGAGAGAGAGAGAGAGAGAGAGAGAGAGAGAGCGAGTGTGTGTGTGTGTGGCTGTCTCTGTCTCTGTCTGTGTGTGTGTGCGCGTGGGTGTGGGGTTTTGAGAGAGTGTGTTTGTGTGTGTGTGTGTCTCTGTGTGTGTGTGTGTATGTGTGTGTTTTGTTCCCTGGGGGGTTGAGGGGGTGGTGGAGCTATGTTGTTAGAGAGTCTGTCTTTCCAGGGTGTTTGCTGAAGGTATGTGTAGCAGGATAGCACTTTGGACATGCTGGGAGGATTTCATAGAGATTCTTTGGGCTTGTGCGGTTTAAATTGGGGTTAACAGTGGTTGGTTCAATGTACCCAAATCAGTTTGTAAGAGTGTAGCCTGCCAAGTGCCGGCTGCCGGGAGATGTCAAAGAAGGGGTCAGGATTGATGGGACAAACTTGTTTTGCTGTTTTGAATGCCTTTGCTCTCACGTTCCATTCAAAGGGCTACAGGCTTCTGACTTGGGGGGTTTTACTGCTGGGACTTCCAGATATTCAGATCGGGCGACAAAGCCGTCAAAATAAAGGTCCTCCTACACCCCCTAAAACATGTTTCAACAACTCGAAGCCTAGAACCGACAGTGTACCTACGTTACACCTGCTTAGCTGGATCTGAGCTAGACGCCCCGGCCTCAGGGTTTTGGTTTTTTCGGCAGGCCACAGGCCCTGCAGTGCTGTGCTGCAGCCTGCAGTTCCTGCGGCCCCTGCTGGCCGCGGTTCTGGCAGTGTTAAAAGAACCCTAAAGTGTGCGAGGGAAAGAAAATCAGTTTGCGCGTTCCAGTACACGCTCGCTCTTGCAATCGAAAAGTTTCGGATGCTGGGATACTCCCGAGACAAACTCTGCGGGAGAGGCAGAGAGAGAGAGAGAGAGAGAGAGAGAGTGCATCGACACAGATTAAAATGAGTCGCTATACGTCCGAACCCGCTACCCTGGAACGATCCCTAAGCTCCTGCTAACGCCCAGGTTGTACTCCAGTCTTGGTCCTTTCAAAACGGTCGTCGGGTACCGGGTGAGACGCTCTCCGAAAATACTGATGCGCATTAGGGTGAGTTGAAATAAACCGGGGAAGCGATTAATCGGAAAAGCAATGCCCCAAAATCATCAACCCCCGACGGGCAGATACCGACAGACAGACGGACAGCAGAAAGGCAAGTATCCGGAGCGAGCTTGAACCGAAAAGATTGACATCCTGACGTTGCACCCTAAGGCAGAGGAGCGAGACAAGGCCCTTGCTGGAGGGTTTCATGGAGCTGTTTTGTTCACGTCAGACGTTGCATTAAGTTACATTGGGTTACACTTAAACGGTTGAGAAGTGGTCAGAGTGGCAGGAGCTCCCGCAGACCTTCGCAGTTGGAAGTTCGGTCCCAGAATTCAGGCACCATACGTGGGTTGTAGCGAGGCGAAGCAACATGTAGGTCAATGTAGTCGGTGTTAGACTGAGAGTTTGGTGGCTATGCAAGGCTTCAGCCGGAATTTGGGCACCTAGAGCATGACCGCCACGCATGCAGCCTTGCTTGGTCAAAGTAGCTAAGTCAAGGTGGAGTTGGCTATAGTTTTTTCGGCAGATTCTTCGCGCCCCACCCGGCCCTCATCGCCAATAGAGCGATGGAGCCCTGGGTCGTTGTGGCCATCACAGCTGGCATCGATGTGGTAGTGTGCGCCCTTTTCGCGGTCATATTTCGGCCATGCGTGGACAAAGATGGCAACAACCGGATCGGCTTGAACGAACTTCCGCAGTGGGCAGTATCACTTGGTCCGGTTGTGGACGGCGGAGGCTTTTACAATCTCGGCACACTGACTTTGCTGCAGACATTGCTTGAAGCTTTCGCATTTAGTGCGACCTATGGCCTAATCACGGTGCTGACATGTAACGTACTGTTCATCCGTCTTGATGAAACACTGGGCAGCATTTTGACGGTTTGCACGGTCTTCCAGGCAATGCAGTTCCAGTGCACCTACAGCACCAACGGCGTTCACGTGGCCACTGGTCACATTGTCCATTTTGTGTACTATGCCTGTGGCTTCTTGCCCCTATACTTTTACCGTCGAAGCATGGCTACATGGTTGGTAGCAGCCTTAGTGGCAGTGAGGCTCGTGGCACACACTGCCCTAAAATTCTATGTTTGGCCGAAGTATCCAAGTTTCAGCCAGATTTATCCACTCTTTGAGCGAGTGAATGGCGAGTTGAAGCAGTGGTGCACCGTAGAGACTTACCCGGAGAAGTCGAAAAGTTTGCCTTTGATGCAGTGGCTGTCGCTGTGCATCCCCTTTCCTGTGTACGAGATGTTGAATATGCACATCACAAGCTGTATGTGTTTCGGAGGTATCATCAGCCTTATCTGTATAGTAGCACTGGCTGAGGGAAGCGACACGAGCCGAAGTCTTGCGATTACAGTGGGTGCATCCAGTCTCGCGGCTCTCCTGTACATGTTTCTGCCATGTGGATGGGTCCCGGGCAAGTTGGCCACACTTTCCGGGTTCTTCCCACGCACACTCGCCGTACTTGGATTTGCGGCAGGTGCTGGCCTTGTTACTTTGAACTTGACTCCAGAATTCAGGGCCACCACCGACAACATGGCTGCAGTTATCATCGTTACAGGCCACTCGTTGCATGCCTTTGGCCTCTTTCTGTTCTTGTGGTCTTGGTTTGCAGCGCGACGGCACTTGTCCTACTGCTTTGGAGCTGCAGAGTACGCTGCCGTTCCGAAGCTGGGTACACCGGCACACCATCCAGAGCAAAGTCTGTAAGCTCGGTTTAGGCCAAGGCCGGCCAAGGTGCTGGCTTCGATTCTGTTGATTGGTCTATGCATCACGTGAGCGCTGGTTGGAAAGTTCGTTTGGCAGGTGTTGGTGGTATTTGGCTTCGCTCCAATCCATCCATGTCCGTCTAAGTCCATGCACGAACTGTCCTTGCCACAACGTCTTAGGTGCGCTACCTGCTGCGCGAAGTGTGTCCAATCCAACGGCCAGCATCTGGAATCGCGAAGCGAATCGCATGCAACAGGCAGCTGCTTGCATCGCAACTGCATGCTGGTGCTGCTGCTGCTACGGCTGCTGCTACTGCTGTTGGTACTACCGCTACCACCACCCCTGCTGCGACTACTGGTACTGTACTACTGCTTCTGCCGCTACTCCGTTAATGCGAGAACATTCCTAACAACAACCACAGCAACAACCACCACCACAACCACAGCCACAAACGCAAACACAACCATAACCATAACAATAACCACAACGACGGCAACTCGACAACGACAACGACAACAATAACTACAACAACAGCAGCAACCGCAGCAACAACAACAACTACTACTACTGCTGCTGCTGCTGCTGCTACTACTACTACTACTACTACTGCTACCTGCTACCTGCTACCTGCTACCTGCTACCTCTACTGCTACTGCTACGGCTACTCCT